ACACACACACACACACACACACACACACACACACACACACATAAACAAGAAAGTATATTTTCGAAAGAATTTATTAAAATTAAATAGTTTCTAGGAAATTCTTCCTTTATTGGTTTATTGAGATTCGGAGATAGCTCAGGTTGGCCCCAGACTCTCAGTAGTCCTGGTCATTCTCCAGTGTGGTGAGCGAATTGCATGGGGAGTCTTGGGAATTCTCTGTCCCTGTGTAGCAGCCTTACTCTCGTTCAGAAGATCTGTCTGTTCATTTCTACAGTAGTTTCTAGCGATCCTCTCTTTATGAGATGTTTGCTGTGAGGATGATCACATTGGTACCGTTTGGCCTTGAGCCCTTATTGGAGATGCTAAAGACAGCCTTTTTGAGAAAGATAGTTCCTCTTTGACTATTTGCTTTGAAGGTTAGCAAATCAACGAAAATCAATAAGGGTCTCATGTGTTACATGAAGGTCTTCCCTCATGAGACAAGTGTAGGGTTTACACCCCTGTGGATGATGTCACATGTGGGCCTTCCCCTTGTATGTGCAGTGCATACATCCAGGTCCTCTGGAGAAACAGAACCAGTGGCCTATAAGAGATTTCTCCTGAGGAATTGGCCTCTGGAGAGGTCACACAGTTTGTAGTCCGCAGGCTGGAGACCCAGAGGGGTCAGTGGGAATCAAGAAGGTCAACCCTGTAGGCCCCAGGGGAAGATCAGGAGACCAACTCCCAGCCTAGGTCAGGAGCAAACAGACCGGCTCCCACCTGCACCCTTTGTTATCTTTGACTCTGAGTAGATTTGGAATGATGACTGCTGCCTAGGCCAGCATACTCTGCTTTCTTCAGTTTACATCTAGAAGCCCCTTGAAGACACACCCATATATATGCCTATATATGCCTACCAAGTATCTGGATACCTGTGATCTAGCCAAGGTGGTACATAAAGTTAACCATCCCAGTAGACAAGTGCTAGAAGACACTCACTTGAAACAAAAGAATCTTCAGGGAAAAGGGTGTGTCTTCTCTCACTTTATAGGACTTCAGGTCATTTTCCAGGTAGGGATTTGAACCCCAAAGGGAAAGTCTACTGAAAAAAAAAAGTTATTTGATGATTTCCAAATCAGAAAAGTAGTATGTGCTTATTGTGAAAAGTGACACAATACCAAGATAAATGAGCTAGTTATCCAAGGAAACAGGTGAACATGCATTCCATATTCGGTAAAAGTACAGTATCAGCATAGACAGGTGTGGTTTTTTTCCTAATCACAGAACCACACTGTCCCGATTTATTACTCAAAAACAATCCTCTTTTTATTAAGGATGTATTTCTATAGGATCCCCATGTTTGTGTACCCCTTTTTCCTTTGTTTGTTTGTTTGTTTGTTTGTGATAGAGTCTCATGTAACTCATGGTGGTCTTGACATAACTGTGTAACCCAGAATGGCGTGGACTCCTATTCTCCTTCATCCCTGGCCTGCTGGGATTACAAGTCTGTGTCACCATGCCTGGCTGCCCTCCTTTAAAAAAAAAAAATCCATGTTTTCTTGTCAAATATCTAAGAACTAAAGTCTCTTATTTTCCATGGCATATTCTGGGGTGACATCTTGACATACTGAAGTCATTGCATTATCTCATGTTAACTTTGAGATGTAATCCAGATCTGCTCCGCCTTTGTAGACTCTGTCCCTGTGTTACAGAACTTTGGCATGACCTAAGGATGAAGGCCTCACCTTTCAAATGAAGGAAAAAATGTGGAGGACATGTTTAGTTAACCTTTGTGATTGAAACATTTAAAGATTAAATGTGTGGGTGAGGACTGGTTCTGCCCTGCTTTTCTAGTGGGCAGTTTTATTAATTGTCATCTCTTCTGGCCTATGGTTTTATCCCATGATCTGTACTCTCTCTCTCTTGTATTCTCTACACTTCTAGGTACTTTTTGGTTTTGTGTTTCTCTTGCCTGTGAGCTCTGCAGATTTTCCTTTTGAGCCTTGCAGTTTTGCTATCCTGCTCTCCCTCCCTTGCCGCCCCTCAGATAGCTCTCTGTGTGAGGACCTGAGTGAACCCATGGAGCTCACACCTGCTGGCCAGATGCCTTCACTTTCCTAGTTCTTTTTCAGGAGGCTGTGTTCCTTGTCTTTCTCCTCCATCTCTCTCTGAGCTTCAGCTTTTTGCTTTTCAACATCACTGAAAATAAGTAAACAAGTGGTCTAAATACATCTGCTGCCTGGCTTTGATTTCCTCTCTATTATCACTACTTAACAGACTCAGTGACACTCTTTATACCATATTCTTCCCATTTTTCTTCTGAGCATCCTCTTTATGGTAAAAAATTTCCCTCTTTTCAAGTGCATGCTTTTGACTCTGCAGAAATTAACTTTCTTTTCTCCAAAACTGCAAACACTCATACTTTCTTGCTTGAAGTCATTTGGTTTTTATAAACTCTTGGAAATGTTCCTTTCAGGCTGTTTTGAAAATTGCTATTACAGTTTGGGGAAGAATAGACTTTTCCTTTTCCAAACACATGCTCTGTTGCCTGATTCTGGATTGGATTAACATCAGTTCAATAGCTATTTATTGTATGTCTATCATGTTCTGGGCCTCAGGTCCAGTGTCCAACCCCAGTGTTTGTTATTTATTTCCAGCTTGTGCCTTTAGCCTTTTCTGTTTCCCTCCCTCCACAGCGTATCTTCCCACCACTCTCTCTGTTTTCACTCCCTCCTGTTTGGTACTCACCCCCTTTGCTTCTCTGCCCTGTATGTTCTTCTCCTTCCCAACTGCCATGGAACCTTCTGGTTCAACTTTTTAACTTTCCTTAGTTCATTCATCCAGTGAAGAAAAATTACCAGGAAAATAGGTCACCTCAGACGTTTAACATAGCCTTCATTTGGACTCCAGAATAAGTTCAATATGTAAGGGGTTTCAAGGCTATTTACAGAGGTATGAGAGAGTAATATTTGTCTACCCTAGGAATGGTACTTTATTTCTTTTTTTAATTGGCAAGTTAAAAGCAGATTGTAAACGTTGGCCAAAGAATGAAATTCAACAGTTTTTAAAGCCTTATTTTTTGTTAGAGATGGTTTTGCTGATCCTATTGGTGTAATCTTTCTTACTATTGTTTTTACTTATGAAGTATATAAATATAGGACTATGGAATAGATAGTAAATGCTTGTGTCATATCTTTAAACACTGGAGATAACTCTTCATAGTCTTGTTAGAAATACTCTACCTTAAAGAGGTGTCTAATGGATGCCCTTTACATGTTTCAGCCCATGGACGGGATACATGACAAGGGAATTATAGACGATGCCCACTGTGGATCCATGAAGGGCGCCAGCATGCGCCCACCACACCCGGGAATGGGCCCTCCACAGAGCCCAATGGATCAGCACAGCCAAGGTTTGTGTCCTCTGCACATTGGATTTTGTCTTCATACCATACTATTTCAGTCTTTCCTGGTGGTAATTTAGTTATAGCTTTAACCTATGTGTCTAAAGATGGATAAATCTAGTTAGCTTTCTGGAGAAAGAAAGCCACCCTCTTCACCCAACAAAAATTATCATTCATTGGGGTAATTTATTTCCAAAGTCCTAGTTATTTTATCAACCCAGTTCATCCAAGTATGCTATAGGGAACTTCATGTCATTCATTGAGAATCTTCATTGTGATCTTGTAGGGTAAATGATATCACTCCCAACTCATGGAAGCTAAAGTTTAGGAAGTTTCCTTATTTCTCTGAGTATACATAGCCATTATTGATAAGGACAAAAAGGAATCTAGATCTCTCTGACAACAACAGCATAGATATAAAAGTAAGATGAACCAAACCCTTGTGTCCCTTGAGTTGACACTTATACACTGGGTCAAAGGTGATGTTTTCTGTCAGCAAAACCATATGCCATTCCTGTTCAGTGAGTCTCCTAGGCTTTCTGTAGCAAATAACTGTGAACCTAGTGGCCCATAACAAATCTATACTCTTATAGATCTAGGGGCTAAAAGTTCATGGCCGAGGTGTCAGGAATGTTGCTATCTCTTAAGACCTCAGAGATGAATCCTCTCCTGGCCCTACTGATTGCCAGTGAATCTTGGCATCCACAGACTTATACATGAAACACTCCAATCTCCACCTTCATGACCACAAGGCATTTCCAATGTCTGGCTCTGTATCCAGCTCTTCCTCTCTGATATTTGGGTCAAGATGGACCCTAATCTAGTTTAAGTTCATCTTAATTTGGTGATATCCACATCAACACTATTTCCAGATGAGGTAGCATTCACAGGTACAGGGGGTAGGATGTCAGTGTGTATTTCTTTGTGGGGGAGCGTCACAAACAATTCAACCCCTGACCTTAGCTAACCAATATGTGAATTTCTTTTCTCCTTCATATCATTCATGTCATGTGTCCGTCCTTCTCTATTGAAGGGATATTAAGATACTTCTGAGCCATGGAAATATACCATAGCCCAATTTCAGAATCATCACTTGGTCACTTTTACACATGAAGGCCATGCATTAACTAGTGTCAATTGACACTGGTATGTGGGTTTTCTTCCTGGAAACCTGTGGTTTATATGTCATACATACTTCCTTGTAATTAAGTGTTTAAGTTTTCCTCCATTTACAATCAGATACACTGTGGAAAAGACTTGGCTATAAGGATTTAGAAAAGCATGCTCACGGTTATTTTCTTTGTGAAGTGTGAATAAACGGTCATGGAGGCCAACATTAGGTGTCCCTGTGCTATTACTTGCAGTCTTGACCATCCCAAGGTTTGATGTGAATCTTATTGGCACTCAAGCACAGCAATCACAGATAACTCTTGAAGTGGTACCTTGTAGCAAAATCGTCTGAAGGACTGAGGCCTTTTACAGGACAGGAAGGAGAAGTTTGACTCATGAGTGCTGAGAATGAATTGTTATGATGCCTCTAGGTTCATGGTTTAAATTCTAAGGGACCATGTGAGACCTCCGTTTTAGTCCCTTGTAGGTGTAGATGAATTCCATGCAGAAGCTCCTATAGCCAGATGCTTCTGCTTTTTCTGCTTTTGGTGTTGTCCTACATCAAGAAGTAATGCTGTGTGAAAGGTCCCGAACAAACGAATGAAGACATCTGAATGCCATAATTGGGAATGGTTTCACATGTATCTCTCCTAAACATTTTCTGGTAGCATGGCTCCTTTTCTCCCCTTGAGAATATCTTATTTACCTCTGGATTTCCAGTGCTTGGCAGGAGAGCCAGTGCACACTCAGTACACTGTTCCATTAGACACAGAAACAAAGCATACACTCAACAACTAACACTTTTAAATGGAGATCAGTTTTTATATCAGTTACATCAGTTATTGGGAGGACCTTCAGTCAGGGGAGTTTAGAGCTAGCATGTAATAATATTCCATAAAATAGTGAAGTCCACTGTAGACTGGGGAGTAAATCACTTAAAGGTGTGTGTGTGTGTGTGTGTGTGTGAATGTGTGTGCGCGCGCGCGAGCGTGTGTGTTTAAATAAAGCAGTATTGGTATAAGGCATTTCTATTCTAAGTAATGATGTAAAAAGAATTTTGACTTAGTATTAGTGTGCATCTTAAAAATCCCCTTGTGGAAACTTTTTTCTAAACCCACAGGTATACAGAGGTCCAGCACTGATCAAAAGGCTGCCAGCTTTTACCAGCCCAGGACATACTAAGCGACTTTAGGGTGTTGCTTGGAAGGCATAACCATTTCCCTCAGTAAATGCTTAATTGTCTACCTGATGGTCCCTGTGATAACATTGTTTATTTTTAGCACAGTGGATTGAGAAGGCCTTTATAGGCATGTATTTATGTGTGTGTACACATATATACATATATATAGTACATATAAAGTTGATATGTAAAAAGTTTGAGGTTATTAATAGAAGAGAGCTTATTGCTTCTCTCTAAGACAAGGTGAAACTGGAGGCATAGTAACTCTTGAAGACTAGTGAAAGAAAACTGCCATTTTTGTGACACTTTTGGATGAGTAAATCAAATAAAACTTCCAAAAGAATGACATCCACATTCATAGTGTCATCTTCACGCAAATGTATTTTTACTTGGAGGCAATCTCTTCCCTCTATTTTCTCACAAAGGATAATTACAAAATATGTTATGCCAGTGCATTGTTTAGATTCTGTCCTTCCTCAAGTTTATGGGATGCTACTCGTGTAGAAAAAAATCCCTCTCTGTAGCCGAGCCACTGTCACTTTCTAATGTCACAGTGACAGAATGATTCTATTAACATCTTCTGTAAATTCTGGGAAATAATTTCTTTACATCCCCAGTTTCTTTTTTATCAAATTTGAGGTAAAATTTCTTACTGCATTGGTTGATCCTACAATATGAATTTTATTCTGTCAGTTTCCTTTTTGTCAAACTTATCAATACTTTTCTGTGTTAATTTCTCGGCAGCCAGGTATTTTAGTCTGCTTTCCATTATTGTCACAAAATATTCGGGACAATCCACTTAGAAGGAGAGGAAAGTTTAGTTTGGCTCAATTACAAATGTTTCAGTCCACCCTGGCTCTGTGAACTTAGGCCTAAGGTGGCAAAGTACATTATAAAAAGATAGGGGGCGGGGGTAGAGGAAGCCTGCTTACCTTAGATGAGCACTCCAGAGGCAGAGACAAGAAAGAATTGGGGTCCTGATATCCCTGTCAGTGGCACACCCCCAATCACTTGACTTCCTTTTAGTAGACACTGCCTCTGTAAAGTTCTACCACTTCCCAGGTGTACCAAGTCAAGGCCAAACTATATCCAACATATAGGCCTTTGAAGTACATTCTAGATACAAACTCTCAGTTGCAGGTTCTTTTATTTTCTGAGTTGTGAGTTCATCTCTTCAGTGCAATTGTCTCATCCTTGCATCATTGCCTTGCTCTTGACTCAACCTCATAGCAAAGCCTTATTCATGATTTAAAAGAGTGGTTTGATAAGCCACACTATGCAGTTGAGTTTCTATGGGTTTGCCCAGGATTTTAGTCCATTGTATCAGGCATACTTTGGCTTGTGGATGAGATTATACTCGACAATTTAGGAAACAGAAAGGTTGGGTGGGCAGCAAGAGACTCATCTTAACCCCCAGAGTTATACCTTCCTACTATGAGAATAAGTTTCTGTAAAGGTAAAGTTTTCCTTCTTGGAGTTGGAAAGAAAGGTGTGTAGTGAACAACAACCATTTTGTATCAGCTTACCTTTAAGAGGTGAATGTCAGCTTCCTTAACAAGGAAAGATATTAATAGCAAAAGTTAAGAATCTTACTGATTCCCTATTCTTGTTACAAATAGCGATATGTTGGAATATTTCTGTTAGTCTAACAGGCTGGCTTCAGGGAGATTTCTGTGGCTCACTTACAACTAACTAGAACCCCAGTCCTGGTGTTGTATGCTCCCCCATGATGTAGGGATTTGGGTATTGAGACCTAGCAGTCTTCCTCCATGGTAGCAATTCCCCATGTGGCATTCCAGTTCTTTACAAACAATAGAAGAACACCAGTTCTTATCGGGAGATCATGTTAAATTTGATCACTCTCCAAATGGCAAAACCACAGATAAAAGTAACTGTATCACTTATTTCCTCTGAGATTCAAAAGGGTGATGGTGTGTGAGGGTCACCCACCTATGGACCTTTGTGGCTGTGCAGCTCTTTTATTCAGACCAGACATGGATTCAAACACATGGCTTTTATCTTGTAACCAGGCCTGTGGTGACCTTTATGATAACTGCCAAATGCACACATTCATCGAAGGATCAAGTCTTTTCATGTATGTTTGTCCTGTTCTGCCTGGGGACTCCTTTTACTTTATTAAAATTGGTACTCTGTTTGTACTCGAGGCAGCTGTTTGATTACAGTATCCCCTTGGTTCCCTTCTCCATCTTGAATCTCCCTCCCAACAACACCCAGTCATAGGTTGTGGGTATTGTTTGGCTCAGCTACTCACGCCACCTTCTTAAATAACCCCCACCAAAATGTCTGTGTGTTTTAATTTTTCTTCCTTAAGAAAAATATTCTTCATTTCCTCAGTTTGGTATTTTAAACCCAAATTGGTGGCTTCCATTTGTATGTGATATCTTAGGAGTTATGCCTTGAGATTTTGAAACTTTAAATGCTTGACTTATTTTGACATAACAAAATGTAGATTCTATTATTTAGTGTGTGCATTAGAGCCAGACAGGCTTGGTTTAAACCTGAGCTCTGGGCATTTACTTTTGTGACATTGAGTAGCTCACTCTCTGAGCCTTCGCAGCCTTACCTTAGAATCTGAGGTAACAGTATTTGCCTTCAGACAGATGTGCTGAAGATTGATATAACAATCTAAGCTCTTCCTTATATGCTTTGGGTCTTCCTGCCATTTCTGTGCCTACATCTGCCTCATGTCCATTGGCTGGTATCATCATCTTGATTCTCCTCTGCCTGGTGACACCTGCCTTATCTACAGTGGAATAGTCCTCTGAACACAGATGGCCCCCAGAGCATTAGTGATAACTAGTGATTTAACCAGTGACTGATACTGTAGGAGTTTAAATACCCCGGCTTCTTCATTCCTTCCCTAGAATAATGGTAGGTAGTTTATTTATCTTGTGTCCCAAAGCTTCAGCAGTGGATTCATCTTCCAGGCTTGCTGCAACAGCTGGCTTGGTAATGCATTTTTTATTGGCTACCTTCCCTCCCGTATATCACCTCTCCATACTCCTCCAAGTGTCCCTGCACCTCCCATATAAATTACCTGCATTCAGTCCTTGGCTCAGCCTGTTTCTGGACGAAACTCAGTTGAGATGCTGTGTACAGTCATGGCACAGTAACTGCAGTGCTAGGGCCTTGGTAATTGCCTTTTAGTCACAGCTTGCATGATCATCAAGCAAATAATATTTGATTTCTTCATAAGACACTGTTTATTCTGCACAGAGCCACTTTAGGCCTCTTCATGTTTTGCTGAGTAGCTTGGAGCTACCTCTGATGTAGAATACTGCCCTTCATCTTCGTTCCTGCAGGTGTGCAACCACCACAGACAGTGTGCCTTCTGGGGTGCAAGTGGCTATTGATCATCTGAAATGAGGCTAGAGAAATCAAGATGTTCTATGAGCATGAAATGCTGGGTTTCAAAGACCTACCTATTATGAAAAAAAAAAAGAATACAAAACTCTCGCTCTTTTTGAAGTGCTAATCTTGTGGGTGTTAAACTGTTAAGAAATTACCATTACCTGTTTCTTTGACCTTTTTAATGTGCTTACTAGTTAATTTTAAATTATAGATAAGCTATATTATAGATTAAACTTCTTTTTTTTTTCTTTTTTTGTTTTTTGAGACAGGGTTTCTCTGTGTAGCTTTGGAGGCTGTCCTGGCACTCGCTCTGGAGACCAGGCTGGCCTCGAACTCACAGAGATCCACCTGCCTAAACCTCCCAAGTGCTGGGATTAAAGGCTTGCACCACCAGCACCCGGCCTTTCTAGATTAAACTTCTAAGCTATGTGTCATTATAAACTTATCCATACCTTAAATTTCTCTCATGTAGTGTCACACTAGTAAATTATTAGCGTATTCGAGACTGCCTCTGTCTCTCTCAGAGTCATCTGCTGCAGCCTGTGATCTTGTGTTTTCTTTTAGGTTATATGTCACCACATCCTTCTCCTTTGGGAGCCCCAGAGCACGTCTCCAGCCCTATATCTGGAGGAGGCCCAACCCCACCCCAGATGCCACCGAGCCAGCCAGGGCCACTCATCCCAGGAGATCTGCAGGCCATGAACCAGCCTAACAGAGGTCCTTCGCCTTTCAGTCCTGTCCAGCTGCATCAGCTTCGAGCTCAGATTTTAGCTTACAAAATGTTGGCCAGGGGCCAGCCCCTCCCTGAAACCCTGCAGCTTGCAGTCCAGGGGAAAAGGACCTTGCCTGGCATGCAACAGCAACAGCAGCAGCAGCAGCAGCAGCAACAGCAACAGCAGCCCCAGCAGCCTCAGCAGCAGCCCCAGCAGCCTCAGCAGCAGGCGCAGCCACAACCGCAGCAGCAGCAGCCTGCCCTTGTTAGCTACAACAGACCATCTGGTAGGTTAATACACAACCAAATGAGTATCACTGCAGTCCAGCTTGGATAAGCAGCCTCTAGCACACAGACGCACTAGGTTGGTAGAAGGCCCCGGTTGACCCAACCCTTTTCTATACGTCTTCTGGTTCTGCTGAGATAGGCTGTAATTCTTGGTTCCTGACATAAAGGATCCCAGAGCAGCGTTTCTTAATCAGAGACCCTCCTGCAAGCTGGGAATCTAGGGAGAAAGCACAAAAGCACATTCTCCCATGATCTTACATTCTCTTTTAAGAGGTACAAGGTTGCCTGGAAGCCCATCAATATACTCCATGTTAGGAACCTCTGTTTCCTCTGCATCCATCTGTAGAACTCCCCACTCAAATTGGCCCCCAACTGAGTCTTTCAATATTTGTTCATTTATTTATTTCTTACCCTTTTTGTTGGGGAAAAAAAAACATTTGTGCATTTGATGAGACCTGTTGTAAAAAAATTATCAAATAAAGCAGCAGAAACGTGGAACATTTTTTTTTAAAGGAGCAAGAATCCAGGTCAGGGATGGGGAGCCCATAAGAGCCCCCCACCCCAACAGTTGCTGTGGCTGAGCTTCAAAGATGACTTGAGTTTTCTGACAGAGCCACCAGGAGATGGGGTCATGTATCTAATTCTCACCATTCAGAAGGAAGTTGCTTCCCAATTTCTCAGAGGACACAAAGCCGTTTCTGGCATGAGAATATAGAGTAGATCTCCCAGGTGTGATTATCCTTCAAATTACAGTCATTCCTTGTGTCTGAAGCAGATTGCTTCTAGGACCCCAGCGGATACCAAGATCTGTTATGTTCAAGTCCCTCATATGAAATGCACGGCAGCATTTGCATTTAAGCTATGCATATCCTTTGGTGTGCTTCATCATCTGCAGGTTATTTATGAGAAATATTGACTATAACATGAATGCTGTCTGAATAGTTGATACGCTGTATTGTTCAGGGAATAATGACAAGAAAAAGAAGTCTATGCTCCCTCAGTACAGTTACATTTTTTTCCCCAAGTGTTTTCTTTCTGTGGTCAGTTGAATTCACAGGGTTGGGACTCACAGATACGGAAACCTGACCATCATTGTATTTTCGTTGTTATTATTGTAAAAGGCTTTGCACGAGAGAAGCATTAGCAACATTTATTCATGGCAAGGCAACAGATACACATGACCTGTTTCTTAGACTCTCTGGGGGTAAGAATGAGAAGCTATGATTACACAACAGGTGTTGATGATGTAGTCCCTTGCATGACCTTTTGGAGACATGACCTGTTCAGGTTGATAGAACTCGGAGGTACACGGGGCTTTAGACTGCTCCTCTATGAAGGTTGCATCTCTAGCATGCATCTCAAGATAGCTTTCGGTAAAGGTGCTTACTCTGCAAGCCTGATGGACCACGAGTCCATCCCCAGACCCTACTTAAAAGTAGTAGGAGAGAACTGACTCCATAAAATTGTCCCTTGATCTGCACATGCATGACCCCCATGCTTTGGCATACATGACCCGTTTCTCTCACCAATCAATCAATTGATTAAATCTTTTGAAAGAGCTGGATAAACAGCTATGGTTTAGCTCTGAGCGCTTTGGATTGTGGGGAGTGTAATGCTCCCTGACACTGATGCCATCTCCCATGAATAGCTTTTAGTCGTTGGGGCAAACTGACAAGCTAATTGCTGTGAGAACAATGAATTTGGGATATTTGTCCTAGGTTTAGGAACTCGGGTGAGGAGAAAGGAACTGATTGGTATCTTTTTGTTTTGTTTTGTTTTGTTTTTTGTTTTGTTTTGTTTTATTTTGTCCTAATTTTTGAGTTTGTGTTTCTTTTCTGATAGATTTAGTTTCAAACAGAGATACCAGGAAGATGAACTCTTGCTGTTAGTTGTAGATGTAGCATTAGGAATGAGTCTTTTGGCTGAGGAGGTGGCTCAATGGGGAAGCGTGCTTGCTGTGCAAGCAGGAAAACCCGAGTTCAAGTCCCTAGAACCCCTGTAAAGATCAGCTGTGGTTGTGTGCACCTGTAATCTGGGTACCGTAGAGGAGGGATTGGTAGGGAGACAGGAAGGTTGTCAGCTGCCAGCCCAGCTCTGTATTCAGTTGGAGATCTCAGGGGAATGAGGCAGAGGATGATAGAGAAGGATATGTATCCCTCCGACAACTGAGGTCAATGTTTAGCCTCTACATACATGTACACATGTGTAACACACACACACACACACACACACACACACACACACACACACACACACACACACTCACTTACATATTTCACATGTTTTAAGCCAGCTGTGGCATATACCTATGTGATCTCAGCACTTGGGAGGCTGCAGTCATCCTCAGTTATATAGTGAGTTTGAATCCCAGCTTGGGATGCATGAGACCCTATCACAAAACCAAAACCAAAACCAAAACCAGAAGAAATTTATGACTCATAGTTCTGAAGGCTGAGACTTCCAGCCTTAAGGTGTCAGCAGATTTAGCATGTGGAGCATCCCTGCTTTCTGGGTCTTAGGAGGCACCTTTGCTGTACCGTCCCACTGTGTACAGGTTGAGGGAGCTATCTGTGGCCTCTCACACAGGCACTGGTCTCATTCAAGAGAGCTTTGCCTCATGGCTTAATTTCCTCCACATCCTAATACCAAGTATTTGAGGATTTGGATTCTAGCATAGGAATTTTGGGGAGACACAGCATTTAGCATATAGCAATGCGGGTTTTTGTTGTTGTTGTTGTATGTATTTGTGTATGTATGTATTTGTGTTATATTTAAGACAGTTTCTTCCTTTGAAGCCCCGACTGGCCTTGGTACCCTTAGCAGTCTTTCTTTCTCTGAGATCTGGGGTTACAGACATACAGCAGCACTATCTGTTTAGCAGTTGAGTTTTTAAAGAAAAAAAATATTATTTCATACCCATATTTCTGTGTGACTAGCAGGGAACCTTTTGATAGATGGAGGATAATATGGGACCAGACCCTATGACTGGTAAGGGCTCCCCAAACTCCATGCAGGGATGTGACAGTTTGAACCCTCAATAGACTTTTAAACTGTAAAACTCTCTAGAGAATTCGGCCAAACAGAAGGAAAGCCTTTATACATACGTAGTTTTAGTCTCACTGAGAACCTGCTTGCATATCCATGCTCTGGAACATCCTTGGCACATGCCATCTCTGCTGCATGGAGGGCATCTAGGTTCAGATCCTTGCAGTTGTGACTTGCAAGCTCATGTTCTTGACTGTTTGTCCCAAAGGGTGCCTTCTTGACCCCAGTTCTCAAGACCAGGGAAAGCATCTGCAAAGTGTGGGCGCCTCACCTTTTTACTCTTGTGCGTGAAAAGTGAAGACCGCAGTAACCTGTCATGACTTCTTTTCACTCTTTACTCTGAACACACTCTTAACAGAATTGGTCATCTTTGTTTCCCACATCTTAGTGCACGAGTGGTTTTAACAACCGCGTTGAGCACAGAGGCCGGCTGCTTACAGCAAGATAGCTGGCAGCTGGGCAGAGAGGAGGGAACAGAGTGAAGTTCCCAAGAGGTAACATTATGGATTTTATCATATGGACATAATCCATGATGCATGAAGCCCTATCTTGGGGTATCACCTGTCATGTCATAGGCCTCCAAAGGCATTAGTAGCTTTTCAATGACCTCGACTCAGCAGGAAAGCATTCCACAGTAGGTAGGTAGGATGCTGCATTCTTCATCTGAGAAGGCTTTCCACCCAAAGGTCTAATAATGTGGACCAATGAAGTAGTGAAATTTAGAGGGTAAAGTTTCTATTATATGAGTACATTCATATAACAATACTTCACGTCTACTGAACCCAACTGTGCATACATTTTGGACCATTTCCAGAGGAGGGGTACCTTCTTAATTACCTATTTCCTTGTCCCTGCCTGTCTTGTCACATCCCTATCAACAAAGGGACTTGATTTTATTACCTACTGCTCATGTCTTTTGCATTTTCCAGCTGCCATGCTTAGTAAGAATTGGAAACAGTTGGGTCGATGTTTTCTGGCCAAGTGGGCAAGAAGGCCATGGGTGAAAGGGGAAGAAGGCTCTCTCCCCAATAGAATGACATATCCCTGTCACTGTTGGGAGTGTCCATCCTGCAAAACTCATGCAGAAAACTGATATAGGACAGACAAACTTATTGGATGAAGGCATTTGTGCTTATTGGTATTTACAATAAGCCTAAATAATACAAGGATTTTAAGTCAATATTAAATTTGACTAATGTTTTATACCCCTCCCCTCTTTAAAAAAAAAACAACACATTTTCTCATAAACACCCTGTTAATCTTTCAGGAAGAAAAGTCATTTCAGTACATGCACTCCATCTGGAGGTCTTAAGTTTCCACCCCATTTCCTAGTGCACTTAATTCGAGAAGAGAATGTGTTACAGAGCTGGATTGGTCTTCCCCAAATCTACCCCAGAGCAGAACTCACAGGAAGTGACATTGTTCCCTAGCAGGATGCCCTGGACACTGAGCAAGTGTGCTGGAGAAGGCTCCCGCTTGGGGGTGGGGGTGGGGGGGTTGGCCACTTCTCAAGCAGAGCCTTGTCCTTGCTCTTGTGGGCAGAACTCCAGACCAAGGCGCATTTCTCTTTTCGTTTTGATTCTCTTTTCCTTTTAGGGATTAAAGCAGAATAAAAAGGAGAACTGAGAAAGTTGTGGTTTGGAGAAGTGAGGGAACGACAGATCTTATGGTGGTAAAAGAAGAAAATGGTCGCCCCCACCACCACCACCTTTAATGCTTGCCCCTCCACCAACCTTGGCATCTGAAACTTTTTGATATGCTCCATTTAAATATTCTTTACTTCATTTATTTTTTTTCCCAACCTGTAGAAATCACATTACTATTTAGTGCAGAGTGGTGATTTGCATAATTATCCTGTGTGCTGAGTGGCCTCAGAAGGCATGGAAACGCTGTGCAGGTGAGCCGTGGGTATTTCAGTGAGTGTGTTGCCCTATTACTTCATATCAGGTGTGATGGGATGGGATGTATTTACCCACCCCCAGCACTATTGGGACCACATTGGAGAGCCAGGCAGAACAGCCACCATTTTGACTCCTTAAGGTAAGGGCTGAGGCAGAAGGCATTTTGAATACTGACCATAAGCCTAAATTGTCCATACTAGAGAGAGGGGAAGAGATGAGCTAAAAATTCAATTTGTGTTCAGTTTGAAAGTGTGGCGAAAGGCCTGAAGTAGACAACCACAGGTTGTCTGGTGCACAGTAGGCCGGAGTCCAGTGCTGTCTGTAAATCTCCTGCCCAACAGGCACAGAACCTGCTAGAGGGGGCTCACATCCTGAGTATAAGTGCCCGAAGCTACACTGAGTTTCCTGCTCTCTGTCAATGAGAGTATTTATACAGTCAGTCAGAGAGAGGAGAAAGCAGACCACACAGTAGATAGATTTCTGTTTAGCTAAAAAATGGTTTGCTTGTAAGTGGCCCTGATAGCAGCTGGCAGGGTGCACATGACAAGTCCACGGGCCTCGGGAGCATCTGTGCTGAGTTGTAGGAAACTACAGAAATGTTTTGAAATTTGGCCCAGAAAAGAATACTCTGCAAGTTTCCAGCTAATATGGCACCCAAATTCTGGAAGTGCTTTCTTTTACCATGGGGTTCTCTGTTGTGTGGCATACAGTAATTAAGTTAGACTTTTCCCTCCCTGGCCTTGATCAGTAAGGATGAAAAGTTGAACATATAGTCAGGCAATCTCACTGAGTCCTCGTGACCACTGTATGAGATAGAGGTTATTGTTATTGTTCCCATTCTGCAGATGAGGAAGCAGACATAGGGCTTGGTGACTTGGTCAGCTTCACACAGCCAGTGGGTGATAGAGCTAAGACAATATTCTTTTTTGGCAACTTTATGTTATTTTTTAGAGTTATTTTATTTTATGTGTAGGAGTGTTTGGCCTGTGTGTATGTTAATTGTGTACATGCTTGGTGCCTGAAGAGGTCAGAAAAGGTATCAGATCCCTTGGAACTGGAGTTACAGACAGTTATGAGATGCCACATGTGTGCTGCGAATTGAACCTGGGTGCTCTGCAGGAGCAAGTGCTGTCTAGCTCCTCCCAGTGCCATTGTTAGACACTGGGATACACAAGTCCGTGGTTGGGTTTCTGTTTCCCAATCTTAAGGATGAATCCAACAGATTACATTGTCTTTACATGTGGTAATTGCATATGGCTGACCAGGTATTCACCAGACCTGTTTAGAGATATACAGACTAAAAATGGCCAGCTGATAACACCTTTCTTGGATTAAATACACTTTTAAAAACTGCGGCTCAAATGAACTTCCAGGTCACTTAGACCTCTGCATCGTGCCTCTGAATTTCTAGGCAGTCATGTTGTGGAAGGGGCTTAGTGGTGGTGGTGAGGACTGGAACAAGGTGTGAGTGTCGGCTGTTGCTGTGCCCTTTGGACGTTTCAATTTATTTGAACTTAGAGAAGAGGGGAAAAACTTTGACAGTGGACTTTAAAGTAATTATTGTGATACTATTTTGCCAATAACAACCAAAGTCTCTTGTCATGAAAAATATTGTATTTTGAGAATCTAAAAGTAGTAACCTCATCATTAGTATACCTAGACCCTGGATTTTAATAGATTTAATTCTATTTGCACAGTGGGTAAGAGCTCTTGCCACCAAGTCTGAAGACTGGTTTGACTCTCAGAACACACATGGTGGATGGAGGGGACAGGCTCCTGAAAGTTGTCTTCTGACCTCCACATGTGCACTGTTAGATGCATGTCCCCCCTCCATAAATAAATCATTGTTACCAAAAAGTAAAGATACGTGTCAGTCATTTGACTAGTCACACATAAAACAATGCAAAGGAAAATCATTCCATAATTTAGGGTCCTCCAGGGAAAGGTATTCCAATCCCCCCCCCATAACTCATTCCAGTACTTAATAACCTTGGGCTTTGAAGTTTAGAAATAAGTTTCTTAAACATGGATGAAAAAAAGTTCTAAATAAAACATGTAATGAAGATATATGCATTTTGTAAAAGATCTTCCATTCAGAAAACAAAACTTCAAGAATTTAGTTTTTTTTTTTTTTAAAAAAAAACACTTTATATGATGGTACATCTTGGACATAAAAATAAAGAGCCATACATTTCACCCCAGAACTGCTTTTTAATCTACCCCCAAGAAGACCAAGACTGCAAATTAGCTTAAGAAAAAAAATGTATTTAGCTCTTTATTGTTTGGGGAATTTTACCTAATTGTTGGGAGGGAAGAAAAACAGCCTATACCAGCTGTTGGGATAGAGGTACCGGTACACACACACACACACACACACACACACGGCACACAGCACACACTCAGGCATATATATGCACACTGACACTTCTCTGAGAAGTTTGAACTAATTCTTCATATTCCTTATGTCACAATGTTTGCTTATGGCTTTCTCTGAATTGTCATTTAAGTCCTTTTCTAAATGACATTTGTCAGAAACTGAAGAAATGTGTTCCATTTTCCATAATGGTTAATTGTTGTGCCTCTCTGAAGTCTGAGACTGATTTTTGTGTTTAATGGCTTTGTTTTTTTCCTTAGGAAGGATATAGGAAATACTTGGATGAATGCCTGTTTGTGGTTTTAGCATCTGCTGACTGAGAGTCTTCATTTATTATTTATTTATTTATTTATTTCTAATTTTTTAAAAAAATTGCTAACTCATCTCGTAGCTTCAGCAATCTTATTTAATTGTAAGGAAACTGAGAACTCACCTGGAGGAGAGTTGTAGCTCTTCTTAGTTTAGATTTGTATCTAGCAGGTAATTGAAGTTTCTGCTTAATGCAGAAATAGCTGAAATAGCTGAAACTGAATTCAATAATACTTAAAGTTTTTTTTTTGTTTTTTTTTTTGCGACAGGCTCTCCTGTAACCCAGGTTGGCCACCAACTGTTGGTTCTCTTGCCTCTACCCATCAAGTTCTGGAATTAAAGGTCTATGCCACTACACTAGAGGGGTAGGGGTGGGGGTAGGGGGGGGGGGTGGAGGTGTGGGGGGGGGGGGGTGGGGGGGGGAGACAAGGCCTTCTTTAATATTTGCTCATTTTAATTAGGGGAAATGAGCATATTTTACCCCAAATGTTGAATAGTTTTAGAAATACTTTGACACTCTGTAATTAAAGTAAAATTTAGTTCCTGGGATTCACTATCAGTAAGCCTGAAGTAAGCTTTCAGAGCCACTAAGGGAAAGTGAGTCTCTCAGTTCCTATAGCCCTAGTGAGCACCATAGCCCTAGTCACTGGATCCCATAATCAGCACCAGATCCCGCAGCCAGCACTAGATTCCATAGCCAACACTAGATCCTGGATGATCCTATAACCAGCATTGGATCCTCTAGCCAGCACCAGCAGTTGGGATAGAGGCCTGCCTTGCAGGGATTTAGTAGCAGTTTCCAAAGTGAGACTTTAGGTCCACACCCATTGCATCTGACTGTTGTGGAACTCTCTTTTCTGAAGTTTGAATTCACCCGTAGTTCTTGAAAAACAAAAAACCCACTGCAGAATGTGGAATTAAGAACCAGCTTCTCATTTTCTTGATTTGTTATAACCAGGGGTCATTTTTTTGGATGTTTTTGACAATATTCATTAGTGCGTGCCCTTTGCCTGTGGGGTATACGCTAGATTACTTTTTCTCTTTCACCTCTGCCCTTCATTCCTTTTCTTCCTTTGTACCCTCCACTAGTCAGCTCTCTGGTGTTTAAGACATTGGTGGTCTCCATTCCTAGGTAGTGGTTGAGGGGTGGAGGAGCCGGGCATGCTTAACAGGTGTCCTTCCTTCTGTCCTGTCCTGTCCATGTCCCTCTTGTTTCACAGGCCCTGGGCAAGAGATGCTGATGAGTGGCCAAAGCACCCCACAGAAGCTGTCAGCACCGGCACCCAGCGGCCGGCCGTCGCCCGCACCCCCAGCCGCTGCCCAGCCCACCGCCACAGCTGTGCCCGGGCCCTCGGTGCAGCAGCCTGCCCCAGGGCAGCCGTCTCCGGTCCTGCAGCTGCAACAGAAGCAGAGCCGTATCAGCCCAATCCAGAAACCGCAAGGCCTCGACCCCGTGGAGATCCTGCAGGAGCGAGAGTACAGGTACTGCTGGTGATCAAGCCATGGGATCACCAGGGCCAGGGGCTGACTGACTTGCTCCATGGGGCAGTGTCTTAGTAGTACTGGACACCAGGAGGGCTGAAGAGAGATCGGAGAGGACTCATGCTGTGACAGTGACTTCAGAACAGTTGTAGAGAAAGTTCACATGTTGTTGGGTGGGTCCTTACGAGATGCTGAGTAGGACAAAACTGTGACTTCTCTCTCATTCACTCAGAAACCTTTATCCTTCCCATCCACTTGCCAGGTGCTGGGAATGCAGAGATCAAAAGCCCAGTCTTAAGTTCCTTAATTTCAGGGTGGGCAATCTCAGGCTTGAATCATGGAATAGCTTGTCCTTGATGGTCAGTGTGTTCTTGAACAATTGATGACCAAGACAGTCATGTTGAGTATGTTGCCTGTGTCCATCCCTCAGAATACTGGCCCAGCTCATGGTAGTAAAAAGCATACTGTATAGATGGGTATAATGTGTTCTATGTTTTAATTTACTCGTTTTAGCCTAGAGGTTGACCCAGCTTTAGGGATTAGCCCTAGGTCTCTGTCTTCAAATGGGATCCTTAGTTAAACTCCTAATCCAGACACTTGTCACCTGATTTGACACAGTTGTATCTAAATTAGGGATTGGCAAACTTTTCCTGTAAAAGGACCAGATGGAAAACATCTAATGTTTTGCAGGGCCATATGTCTTAGACACAGATAGTCAGCTCTGCCCTTTTTGTGGGAAAACACCCATAGACTGTGGTGTCTTGGCTTTGTTCCAATTAAAACTTTATTTAGAAAAGCAACTGTAGACAAGATTTGGCCCACAGGCTTTATATAGAAGACTACTCAAGCAAATGGCTAACAACCACGAAATACTGAGTCCAGTAAGTGTTAAGCTGAAACAAAGCTAAGATTTTGGGTTCTGCAGCCTGCCTGGAAGCACACACTGTCAGACACATCTCTGTTGTTTTAGTCAGGTTACATTACTTTTCTGTGACTTAACATGTCAGAAAAGGTAATATATTTTGGAAGCTTTCAGTAATATTGGTGTCAGTTGTTTTTGTAGAATTACTTAGATTAAAATAAAACTAGATGTTAAAAATTATAGCACATTAGCCAGTAAGCAGTGCTAGGGTTCTCCTTAAGGGCACTACCTTTATCTTCATTAAAAGGAATATAGCCTGTTATGAAATTAAATAAAATATAACTGGTTTGGAGACTTCTTTTGGAGACATCCTGGAGACTAGGTATTAGATGTGGGTCCCCTTTTGGAGTGGGACTTTGAGTCTATTTTCTCACTTCTGTTACTAGTCATCATTGGGAGAATTTCTGTTATCATTCCCAGCTTGTCTCCTGCACCTGAGTATCGGGGCCAGGCAGAATCTGTTGGGTAAATGTTTGTGTATCATAAAGTGAAGATAAGCTCCTCAGATGCCATATCTTCTTTATGTTGTTGAGTAAAGAAAGTCATAGGTAATTGTTAGGGGATGGTCAGTTGTGTGGCTACCCTGAAACTCTACCTTGCCTGAAATCTACCATGCTTTTGCCTTGCCCAGAAGATGCAAAGATGCTGGGAACTTTGTTGTCTCATGACAGGTACCCTCAGAAGACATTCTCTGTACTTAGACATTTTTTGTAACATCTGGCTTTTCTCTTAGTCTCGTGTGTGTGTGTGTGTGTGTGTGTGTGTGTGTGTGTGTGTGTGCATACATGTCCATATGTGTGCATGGAAAATGCTTTGTGGACTCCTAAATTTTTTGTCATTATTGCCAGAATTTTAATTACAGGGCTTTCCTACAATCTCATTTTAGAGCCATTTGTAGAAGTGTGAGCTTAATGGATTATCTTCCAAAGTATTAAGTAGCACTTTCTTTTTAAAGCCCATTTCAATGTATTAAAAAGTTTGTAACCTATATCATCTTCCTATAATAAATTTTTATTGTATTTATTCACTATTTATTTGTTTATTTATTTATTTATGGCACATCTGTGCCACTTCACAAGTATGGTCCTGTGAGAGTTTGCTCTTTTCCTTTCCACTATGTGTTTTCTGGAGATTAAGCTCACGATCAAGTGCCTTTCCCTATCTGAGCTATCATCTCACCTACCCCATTCTCCTATGTTAATAAAAATTATATCTACCAGTTTCTTTTAAACAGTGGTGCATGGTGCTGCATGCCTAGAATCTCAGTACATGGAATGCTCTGGCAAGGGAATCATGAGAGCAAGGCCAGCCTAGGGTATGTAGTGAAACCCTATCTCTAAATAAATAAATAATAAAGCAATTAAAAATCATGTGCATTTCAGAATGTTATTGAATAGTCATTTTTCATATCATTATTATTTGATAAGCACATCCACTTTTGTAAAGCTGGAGCTGCAAGGTGTTGGGGTTGCCAAAAGCCTGGTGGGACCATTGGCCTGAGTGTCCCTATGGCCATCTGGGGAAAAATGAGATTGTGCTGGCAGCATAACAGGGACATGCCTTATCTTGTTTAGTCATGGAACAATAGCTGGCTCTATAAAGACATTGTTCTACTGCAGAGATTAAGTTTATCATCGAAGGGGTTTCATTAAGTCTCTCACACACTTATACCGGACAGGTATTAGATTTATTTCTCTCCTGCCCACTGTGGTGGGCTAGCCCACTCCCTGCCATGGGCTAGGCCAGCAGACATCCCCCTGCTCACTAGACTCTGCCTGGCTAGTGCACCTTTGTCACCTGGGCAAAGATTTGAGTAAGGTCCTAACAGATCTCTTTTGGGATTTCATAGGCTTTGACAGAACAAAATATGTAACATGAATCTTGTAACATGTTCATTTCTTTGACTACGGTCCTTGTCTACAAAAATGGAAAGAAATTACTCAGGTGTTATATTTCTTCAAGCCAGTTGGCTGTTCTCCCTGATTTGTCATAAACTCAGAATTTTAACACATCAACCTGTCTTTGGGAGGAGGGGTTATAGCTGCAGTCAGTTTCTGCCTGTGTACACACTAGCATCAGATCTTCAGCCCTCGGATTGAAAACATTTACCTCCATTTTAGATTGGGTGCTCTCCTTTTGGCTCACCTTTTTTTTAAAAAAATGTATTCTTTCTCTGGTATCAGCTTTGTGTGCTGCAGTCACCCCTCACCCTGGAGCCCCCATCTTTGGGTATCAGTTCTTGACTCTTCTATTCCCAAGTCATTTTCTTCCATGTTCAATCAAAGAGCACTCCAGGAACTTACATGCTGACAGGGAAACTAGTTCCATGTAAACAAATACTTGCATGGAAGATGCATTTCACACTTAGAAGGGTTTATTTGAGAAAGTCATCTTTGAATTATATCAGACCTCTGGTCTCAAACAAGAATTGAGTGTGGAAACGGTTCTAAGAGACATGTATGTATAGTTTACCTCTCTCCAACTCTCTC